CTGCGATAAACGTGCGCAATCGGAAGCATGAACGCGAGACCTGACCGACGCGACCTCGGCAAAGAGTTCTTCGCTTTTGACGTTCCAGACATTGCGTCCTAATATCGCTCAAACGTCCTCAGCACCACCATCATAGCTTTATCACGATTTTGGTGCTTTCTTTGTACGTTTTTATTTGGTAACAAAACTTTCGGTGCAAGTATGGCAGTAATAGGTGCAGGCTTTTAAGAATGGGTGATTCAGTTGTAGCCAGTGGATAGTCCCCGAAAGTTGGAGGATGAAGTTAATGAAACATGTCGACTGCCTGGAACATATGTGTTCTGACATTGTGTGCACGCAGTAACCTTAATACCTAATTCATCCCTGCCTCGTTAGCAAAATAGATGGACGTGAAAGGCCTTCAGACTACGTCCACATGGGACTGTCTCAACTGGCAACTGATTTCAGAACCAAATCACACCATTACGATTCGTGATAGGGGTCGGTTCGAAGCTATGCTCTGTGTTTCCTAGTCACGCTAGAAATAAACTGCGCATGCGCATCGAATTTCGTAGTGATCGATCACCACGACTTAAAGTCAACAGCGGTTCACCGTTTCATTCGGTGATGCCGATGACGCTTCTGATAATTTGGTAGCAGTTTGGATACTTTGCACACCAGGATCATGACTTTAATGCCGATGGTCTTGCCAGATATGTTTCTGCGCCTATCACGAAAGAAGACAGATATTTGTTACTGACTTGCAGCGGGTTCCTTCAAAGAACAAATGATCTATAATCTTGATCACAACTTTTGCTTTCTCACCCCCCAAGATGGTGGAAATGGCAGGACATGCTAGAGAAAAAAGACCAAGAACCACATGAACCACCACCTAAAATCGCCCAAACATTCGTTAATGCCTCACCTTATTCTACGCAGCAGCCTACGCCAGGGTGGATCTCAAACCACATAGCCTTCATGGCTCATACCTAGCTTGATGCAGGCCCTAGTCTATAAGACAACTTGAGCAGTGGGATTGGTACATATCTAGGGACTTATAACAAAAAAAAAACACATCCTGGTACTTATTTAACCGCCTTTGCTACTGTGGCAGTCTAGCTAAGAAGATGGCTTCATTTTCTCCGGCTATCTCGCGGGAAGCAACGTCGCAGTCAAGCTATGGAGGCAGGATGGGTTTCACCTGACCGTGGTCTGCCTGCGTTGCCTGACCTTCGCCTGACCTTCGTCAAAAGCCTGACCGTGGTCTGCGGGCGTTGGAGTAGGGTACTATCGGGGTTTTCTCTACCAACGGTACCTATCATTTTAGTTACCAACGGTACCTATTTCTCTCTACCTATCTCTACCTATCAGCGCGCCGTTCGGTCTTCCCGTTGTCAAGGGTACTGTCACGCCATGTGCCATGTCATATCATGTCACATTTCGGGGCATTGTCAGGGGCAGGCGTAATCAGTGCTCTGTCGGGAACGTTATCAGCGGGGACGATTGTCAGCGAGGTGTCCAGATTGCTGTCTGTGGAGGACGGGAGTTTCTCAGAGGACCGCCGCGGGCGCTGCCCGCGGGTTGTCGGGGTCGTTGTCAGCGGGTTGTCGGGGTCGTTGTCAGCGGGTTGTCGGGGTCGTTGTCCATGTGCTGTCTGAGACGTCGTCAGAAGCCTGTCGGGGCGCATGGGGCGTTGCCGAGGTCGCCGGTCGCCGGCCTCCTCACCGCAGGCTCCGTTGACGGCCGGCGGCTGGACGACAGCCCTTCTGACCGCTACGACAGCCACGCCAGCCCGTGCCGGTACCGCCGGCCGCGCCTCTGGTGGCCATTTCAAGCGTTACAGGTTTGCCATCGGCCGACAGGGTTAACGGTTTGGCTCTGTCGAGGTCGCGCTATGTTTCGCGCGCGCGCTCCGCGGCACTGGTTCGGTGCCGAGAAAACAATTTTACTGTGGAAGGTCATTATGGGTCAATTGGCGTCACTTGCTTTTAGACGCTGCCCTGGCCGTCCTCTAATTGTGTAAGAAAGATCGTCTACGTGCTAGTAAATGTCAGGGCTGTTTCCTTGATGCAAGGAAAACTAAGAAAAAGCAGAACGTCAATAAATCGACAAAGCTTAGGTTTGGTACTACATACGCCTGGTCGAATAACCAGCTTTCCTTTGTTGAAAATAGTGGGTCAGCCACTGGACCATGTCCTTTACACTGCATTCAACCGCCATGCCCCAAAACAGCCGCGTCCGACACCAGTCGTTTGAAGCTGACATCAAAAATTAACGTAAAGCCGATTTTTGCACGTGCACGCATCATGCGATGGCGCAATGAAGAGGCTAGGTCTGCAATGGTTGACGACGGAATGTCGCACCAGGACGCCATTATGTCAGGCGGTCTGTGGGCGGCACGACTGGTGACAGGTCTCGCTGACGCGCCATCAATGTAACGTGTTCGCTGGGGACACACTCGAAGCCGGAGGACAACGAGAGCCGCCGGCAGTCCTCTACCGTCCGCAGACTTGCCATCCATTCAACTGCCGCGCGGCCTAGCAGATTACATCAATGGCCTAGGCTACAGGCATGGTGGTGCGAGGGCTGGGTGCCTTCGCCGGCTTGAAACTGAAGCATTCAGCGCCTCATCTTACAGGACTTTCTGTTTGATTTGCACCTGCGGAAGGCGGAAGTGACGCCCACAGGATCATCTTGAAAGGTCGGCGGTGAAGCCACGGGCAGGGGGGGGGGGGGCAGTAGCTGCTCCATCTACCCACATCTGGGGGCATATGGAGCAAGCGCCGCGAAACCCACGCCCCAGGAAGTTCTCGCAATATAGCCCACGCCTCCCACCCTTTCTCATTGGCTCTCCCGGCGTGACATTTACCAAGGGCGCGTCCACGCGCACGTGACCTTGGGACAGTCAAGGACGCTGCCCGCGCGTGGCGATCGCCAACCTCTGACCTTTGAGAGACCGAGCACGTGCCGTACGGGCCTGGGGTGACGTGTAGAGTCGTCGATGGACGGACAGGCCCGCTGCGCCGGCAATGAGCGGATCATTGGCTTGATACGTGAATGCTGGCCCGTGATATTTGAAGTTCATGCTACACACTTAAGCTGATTGCAATACTGATCGCCTGGTTTTCGAAAGCTTCGACTTCGCGGAAACGTACAGCTCTGAGAACCCAATGAATCAAGAAGCCTGCACACGGAAAACCGCATGCGCAGTTGTGGAATGACCGTGGCACGTGTCCGAACCGGGTTTGTATGCAACCACTCCAGGAACAGGGAATATGGTCCAGGATATGGTGAACCTAGCTATCTAAACACGACAAAGACAGCAGATTGCCCTTGAGCTCCGAGCACAAGGACCATTTACGTGGGTCATGGCACAGAATGGAGTGTTATGCGAGGGTATCATCCACAGCATGAGCCATTTAGCCCGCGGCTCAACGTTAGGTGTGCTACAAATGGGGAGGGGAGGGAGAGGGGAACAAGGGCGCACGGCAGGGCAACACTCGCAGGCACACAAAACCCACAACACCAATCAGCCAGTTTCAAAAAAGTAAGGTTTTCGAGATTCCTTGGTGCTCAGTTCCAAGACTGGACTTGGATGTTCATAATGTAGCTGTTAACAGTCTATGATGAAAGTTGCAACCTTATTAGGAATGCATCGCGAAATCGCGCAAAATGTCTTTATTAGTATTAAGAATATCCAATAAGGTAAAACTGCATGAAATAAGATCAAGTACTTAGACAAACTATACACATATTCATAAAATATAAAAACTGCATCGAAAATATAAAGAGTAATCATATAAGACCACCCAAAATTTTTCATCAAAATATGCTGAAACCACATTACACTGAGTAACTGCAAAGACGACTTTGCAAACCAAAAACACACAAAAAGTTGTGACCCAAAGCTTGCCTTTAGTGAAATTGGCTGCTCTGTCAACTGCCAGCACACAGCCACTGACACTCAGCCACTGCTGCTAGTTCTACAGGCGGTCGCGAACACAGCAGCCTCACTACACGGCCAAGTGCGTCGTGAGTCTCAGTTCGTGAGAGAGTGCCCCCTCCCCTCCCCCACACCCCAAGCATTACGTTTATTAACTGCGAGCCTACATCCTGCAGCTTATGAAGGATGAAAGCTCATCGAAGAGACGCCACGTAATATCAGTGGACAACCACAACGAAGGGGTTCAGTTGTGGGTACCGAGCAAAGGCAGCGTAATATCAGCGGGCAAGGGTTCGGCACTGCATCATTAGCACGTGTGTAACAGTCACGAAATCCGATGATTCACAGTACACAAAGGCTAAGACCTCAAGGCTTATAGCCTTACAGTGATGTTCGGATTTTTTCAACGAAATTGAGCTATTACATCAATATCTATATATATATATATATATATATATATATATATATATATATATATATATATATCCTATTACTATGTACCATACCGGTGGAACTCCACGAGTGTCAAAAATAATGCTAAAGATGTATTTACGAGATCACATTATGTATGCCTAACAGTTATGACCACGGTCAGCAAGCACTCTCATCCACGCCACCCTTGAATCTACTCTTTGAACATGAGACGGATCTTTACCATGAACGACGGATGTATAAACAAGCAGGCAGCATCAGTAATAATGTACTTGTTTTGTTACAAGAAATTCTGCGACTGACGCCGTTGCTACGTTTGCTCCACATCATAGCAAATTCAACAAGCCGTGGAGTAGCTCTGATATCGATGTGGGCGATCTGCAGCACGAGTAATTGTCCCTACCCCTCAAGAAACTATTCCTTTCCATACCAGGATCTCGCACGCTCTCTTGACATATCGGCTACCACGCGAGCGTCTACCTACACATGTGCTGTCCGATTAGATGGAGGCCGAGCATTACGTCATTTCGATAAATCTCTGCAGGCTGTAAATAGGGCAGCCACTTTGGCGCTGTTCAGGGCAGCTGCCTACACCTCCGAGCCAGACGCGCCGGACTGCAGCCGTCGGCCAGTCTACCCTCCGTACCTTTGCCGTCCTCCTCCTCAGTGGTGGTGTTGCTCTCCGAGGACTCTTTCACTTGTGAACCGTCTCCCTTCCGGGTCACGATGCTACGACCTGGGGACGGTCAAGGTGACGGTCAATACGTCCTGCAGACGGGTGGAGCATAGGTCAATACGTCCTGCAGGCGGGCAGGGCACAGGTCAATACCTAACGCAAGCGGGAGGGACACAGGTCAATACCTTCTGCGGACGGGCGGGGTACAGGTCAATACCTTCGGCGGACGGGCGGGGTACAGGTCAATACCTTCGGCGGACGGGCGGGGTACAGGTCAATGCCTTCCGCAGACGGGTGGGCAATAGGTCAATATCTCCTGCAGACGGGCGGGGCACAGGTCAATGCCTTCCGCAGACGGGCAGGGCACAGGTCAATATCTCCTGCAGACGGGCGGGGCGCAGGTCAGCGCCTTCCGCAGACGGGCAGGGCACAGGTCATTACCTGCTGAAGACGGGCGGGGCACAGGCCACCACCTCCCGCAGGCAAGCGGGGCACAGGTCAACCAATACCTCCCGCCGACGGGCGGGGCACAGGTCAATACCCCGCAGGCAAACAGGGTATAGGTCAATACCTCCTGCAGACGGGCAGGGCACAGATCAATACCTAACGCAAGCGGGAGGGGCACAGGTCAATACCTCCTGCGGACGGGAGGGACACAGGTCCATACCTTCTGCGGACGGGCGGGGCACAGGTCAATATCCCGCAGGCAAACAGGGCAGAGGTCAATACCTCCTGCAGACGGGCGGGGCACGAGTTAATACCCCACGCAGACATGTAGGGTATACGTCAATACCTCCCATAGACGGATGGGGCACATCCTTATACCTTCTGCTGACATGCGACGCACTGGTCAAAACTTCATGCAGACAGTCAGATCAATACCTCCAACGAAAAGTCAAATGCCGCCTGTATGTCAATGGCTCTAATGACATGCTTGGCGCAGTGCAATGTCCGCTCAAAGCCTTGCCATCACAGGCCAGGTGCAAGGTGATTTTAACAGCCTTTAACGACGATATATGTGTGTATATATACAGTCATATATACATAAATAGGCTTTATATATATATATATATATATATATATATATATAAAGCCTATATTACAACAACAAGATTGTATCCATCCGCTACGGAGAACACGAAGACAACATGTCATTTGCTTATCACAGAAGAGACATGTTATTTAACGCGGTGTAGAAACGGTGACCTTTTCCCAAAACAGCATGCATTATACTGTGCAGCATCTGACCGCCGCATGCGCTGCTGAAGACGCGTAGAAACCGGCCACATATTCATGCTGTGTATGGGGGAGGAGATGAACCAGGGATATATCCTTGTTAATATCTGGTGCTCCGTTAGTCTCGTTAAAAGAGGGCCTATCATAATGTCCTCGTGGTGACACTATTATAGGCCCTTGGGTGCCGCTGGGCTACCGCATTATTACTGCCGCATTAAGTGACCCTTGCAGTCATTCAATGATACAGAGTCTGAAACATGGCCACAATCTGTCTGATCCACAGAAAGTGTGACATGCATCCCAAACTGAGGTATTATGCTGGCGTCCCTGTGCGTCGCTGGCGTTTCTGTACGTTCCTGTACGTTTCTCTACGTCACACATCGCTGTGTACGTCACATGTCGTCATGAAGTCACACGTTGCTTTGTAGTCTTACGTCGCCTTGTGCGTCACACGTCACCCTGCACGTCACACGTTGCCCCGTACGTCACACGTCACGCTGTGCATCACACATCAGCCCTGGTCGCTCGGACGCTCTGCTCCGCTACTCACTGGAGAAGTTCCTCGTCGCGAGCATTGTCGTCAGGATCGCGCCCTGGAACAGCACAGAGAAAACTGAAAGCAGTGCGTGCACACCAGTGACGTCATCTCTGGCACGTTGAATCATTTGTTTGCCGCAAGAAATGCGTCAAAAGTCAGACTGACCGGTGGTGCAGCACAGTCAGCCCATCAGCAAAGGTGAGGCAAGTCTGAGGTTGTTGACTTGGACGGGTTCTGTTGTGTCGTCGGACAAGACTCACCACCCACATTATAATTTATTTAACGATTTGTGGTGGCTGCAGGACGTTGTTTTGACAAAAGGCTTCGCCTGTCATTGAAGTGTTACTCCGCTGGTGATTAGCTGACTAAACAAACAAGCTTGTTCCTGTGCGACCGCATTATCGTGGCCCGGGCTATTCTCATGCTGACAATGCGCCAGCTTCCGGTCTCACACCTCGGTTGCTGACTGAAAACGCGTCTCAGCACCGGCAGCCGATGCACTCATCGAACTCTGTGTCATTGGAAAGGTGATGGCGACACTATCCGAAGAGAAAGTGGAAAATTTCAGGAACTGCGGGGCTGATAACACACGGACTGCCTTTAATGAGAAATCAGAGCACTGTCACTTCAGGTACGGACTGCCGTTAATTAGAACCCAGAGCATTTTCACTCCAAGGACGGCCTGCCGTTAATGAGAAACCAGAGCATTGCCACACCAAGTATCATTCTTATTTCGTTTTGTGTCGACGTCCCTTCCCTATATTGTGATTCCTCGTTGCTGTGTGATATCTCTCCGAACAATTATCACCGCACGCAGCTGCTGAAGCCGTCGAGGCCAACAGTGAACGCCGGGATCAGAAAACTTGCTTGCGGTGGCGGTCCAGCCGATATCTCTTAATCTACAGCACCACACCTTCATCGCTTGGCCACATTACACTATGGTTCCCATGCCACTTACACCCCCACCCCTCCCACTCCCCACAAGGTGGCTGTGTTTCAAACCAGACATGAACGGACGCAGGACGGCCTGGAAGAACAAACGAAGGCAAAAGTGGACGGCAGATGTCATGATTGGGCAGTGGCCAACATGATAGGAGAGCAGCTAACACGATCGGACAGCAGATGCTATGCACGGGCAGCGGGGAACACCAGGCCCGGCACACTGTGCCTGACCGGGTCCTGTTGGCCAGGCCGGCGCCGGCCGTCCCCCTCCCTGCAGCTTCAGCTGCCACACCTACCATAGCCGCCACACCTGCCACGGTTGCCATAACTGCTACACCTACCACAGCCGGCATACTTGCCACGGCTTGCCTCAGCCACCACACCTGTCACACCTACCACAGCCGCCACACCTGCCACATCTGCCACGTTTGCCACAACTGCCACACCTACCACAGCCGGCACATCTGCCACGGTTGCCATAGCTGTCACACCTACCACAGCTAGCACACCTTCCCCACCTGCCACGCCTGCCATAGCCGCCACACCTGCCACAGTCGCCACACCTGCCACAGCCGCCGCACCACGCGCTCACCTTCAGCTTCCGGCGGGCGTTGAACTTCTTCAGACACTCGACTGTCTGCTGTCGGTGCACCACCGAGGCGACACGCTCGCGTTGCTGTAAAACGGGGAACGGATGAGAACCGTACCGGATACGTCCGCCGCGGTACAGGGCGTGTCACGGGTGTACCCGCGTAGGTACAAGCCGCGTGCGCCGCTGCATTAAGTGTGCAGGGTCCTCGGACTGCGCACCCGGCCTGCTGCGCTCGACTGTTGCGGGTCCCTGCTCTAAACCGCGCACCGTTGGGCCTAACCCAGCTCTGTGGTGGAAGTGACTCAACTGGTTCACTCTAGAGCATATGGCACCGATATTTCGGTATGAACCCAGCTGATTTTCTGGTGAATTTCCTACATACACCCTGATTCCCCGACTGTTGTACCAGTGACGACCCACCCTGGTCCTATTTTTCTATCCATCCGTGTTCTAGGGCAGTCCTGTCATTCCATTGTACCTTTCGTGGATGGCCAGCTACGCGAAATAATTGAGTGACGTTCCACTAAGTTTTTACCAGAGCAACGACAAAACCTGATGAGTACAGTTACGTGATTTGTTTTTGTTCCTTTCAAGAGGGTCAGTACAGTACTGACAAGCAATTTCGATCACAACGCCTCAATGTATACCAATATTCATATTGAATAAAATATCGGACCCTTGACAAAACCCAACCGATTGGTTATTTTACGTCCCGGGAATTTTTTTTAGTACATATTCGTTTCTAATGTATCGGATTTTGACAAATTGGTGCTGTTAATTTTTGTAAGAAGGTCTCGTGCGATTGTGTTTAAACTCCATAAATAGCAAGAACCATGCGCATTCGCAAGCAAACCAACGTAAAGCAATGCGTAACGGCCATACTTCCTCATATCGCATACGCATAACGTATGCGACATGAGGAGCCGTGACCGTTTCCCACCCTCGTCACGTGATGTCCTTCGTCGCGGATCGATGCTATGTGCAGATCTTGGCGGCAGATTCATAAGGGGGCGTAATGGCCGGGTTGTTCACGCCTTCGACTCTCTCGTGGGGGCCGGGGTTCGAACACCGGTTGTCTCATAAACCCTGAGCGTTAATATGGCCACTGCCGTCGATGACGCCCCGTAAAGGGCCACGCGTCGATGTGAGCCGATTCCTTAAAAAAGGCAGCTGCACAGCTTGTGCAGATCACAGCTGCAGATCCACACCATGCGCAGATCCCGGCGATAGGTCCACTCACGCAGATCCAGGGGTGTTTGAGCGCCTCCGTGGCGCCGATCCGCCGCTGCGGGTTCACCGTCAGCATCGAGTTGATGAGGTTCTTGGCCTCCGGTGTCACCGTGTCCCACTCCGGGGACGGGTACTGGAAACAGGGGACCGGGGCGGTGACGCTATGCCGGGCGACGGCACTCCGGAGTTGCCAGACTGGGGACGGCATGGCACTCCGGAGTTGCCAGAGTGGGGATGGTACGTCACTCCGGAGTTTGCCGGAGTGGGGACGACACGGCACTCCTGAGTTACCGGAGTGGGGACGGCACGGGACTCCGGAGTTGCCCGAGTGGGGAAGGCACGGCACTCCGAAGTGCCATCTGGGGGGGGGGGGGGGGGGGGCGCAGACGCGACACGAGGACGACAGTGTCCGACAGTGGTCGACAGTGGCCGACAGTGGCGATGTCGGGGTGGTGATCACGAGCGAGCACTCGACGTGTGTAATTGACCCCAGCATTGACGCGCGGTGTCATCACAACACGGCAGCCAAACCTACGTCCTCAAGTCTAAATCCTTGCCAATTCGACTCATCCTTTCCAAACTTGAAAGATAACGTAGTACGGAAGTGAGATTGATGGGACGAAAAGACTAACGAACAAAAACACTAGTTCAACTTATGATCGTGAGCATCAAAACAATAGCGTCGCGTTGCTTTTGAAGGGCAAGGCCATCTGTAACGATCCAAACATTACGAAGGCGCACCTGAGCACCTTTAGCTCTTTGATCGCCTAAAGGCGCGCCAATTCGCACCAACCTTTCGCGGCCGGTTTACAGCTTTGGGAACACATCGCCGGGATTAAAACGCGTTAAAAGTCGGCCCACAAGGCGACGCTAGCGCGGAGCAGGTGTTCACGTTTGGGACCGGCACTGATGCACGCAATGAATTTACCAAACTGCCGCCTATGCCTCGCCCACCCCACGGGGTGTATGCTGATGCTTCTAGCATTCAGAAAGAAGCACCACGGCTGTCCTCGAATTTAGACCATAGCATTCAATTCAGATTCATATTCGTACAACTGAATGCGATTGAGTCACCGCCTCCATACATTCTGCAATTATAATTGGTCGAATGGATATGTGAGACCGCGAAATGTATCCCCTGATCTCCCAAGTTGGCACGGCGATTATCTGAGCCCCGAAATACACCGGGCCGCCAGCATCATTGGACATGTGTATCCGTATCGGAACTCACTGCTCCGAGTTTTTAAACAAATACAAAAGAAGGCTAGACGCGAAAAATTACAAATGTCGTAATGATGGCTCCGGGAAAACCCATTGCAGCCCCCGAATACCTGCAACCAATCACGGGTGTAGAATGGACATGTGTTGCGATACTTTCGTGGGCCTGGGTGGTCCAAAGCTGTGTACAGTGTGAGTGAAATGAAAAAGCAAAGTTTGAAATTATAACTGAGCTTGGACAAAATGAGAATAAAAGGTAGTATTTAAACCACTTTGTTGTGTTGATCCGGATCTTTCGGCTTTCAACCTGATGTTTCAAGCATTTCACCTTTCAACCTGATGTTTCAACAGCCTCCGTTGAGCCAGAAGAACGGGTCACATCTTATGCCCTACGATAGAGGTGTTGGCCCCATCCCAGCCTAGGCTAACTGGGAAGGGCCTCGACCAGGGCCCGCCGCTCAGGGCCCGCTGTCGGCAGGACACGAGCCCCGGGGCTCTTTATCACCACTCGGAGACAGCTGGGACGATCACTAGTGCTCCAGCACCAGCTCCACTCACGTCGTAGGCGCCGGACTTGATTTGGGCGTACAGGCGGTGCTGATCCTCGTCCCAGAACGGCGGGTATCCCACAAGCAGGATGTACAGGATCACGCCTGCAACAAGAGGGCTAAGCGTCCACCAACGGCATGTTGCAGAGAACCAAGGAAAACTGGATCAGGGTGACTGACGCTGGTGACTGGAGGGTCAGGATGACTTATGCTGGTGACTGAAGACCAGGGTGACTTATGCTGGTAACTGTAAAATCAGGTTGACTGACGCTGGTGACTGGAGAATCAAGTTGACTGACGCTGGTGACCGGAGGATTAGGTTGCCTGACACCGGTGACTGGCGAATCAGGTTGACTGACGCTGGTGACCGGAGCCTCAGGGTGACTGATTCCAGTAGCTGCAGGATCAGTGCGACTAACTGTTGTCCCGGCTTTATTCGCGGCAGGAGGCGCTTCAGCTGAGCGACGGTCAGCAGCCGCGAACTCGCCGACACCGGGCAACTGGGACGACACCGTTACATTCACAGAACCCCCCCCACCCCCACCCACATCAGGGGCAACGGAAGCTCTCCCAAGTTCGGGAAGGTGATAACCATTTCCGCTCAGCGCTTGCTAGTCATCAACTAGAAGGTCACTGTCAAATTTCCAGGACTTGGCGGAGGAGGGGAGGGAGAGCTCAGCCCAGCCACCTGCCAGTCTGGTGCCGGCGCCCTTGCCCATGTCGCAGTAAGTTACTGGGAACACAGCAACCAAATTTGTGCATGCTTGATAATGCTACGGTCTATGGTTATAAGCATTGGCATGCTACGCTGAAAAAGTCCGATATCCGGAGAAAATTGACATGGGTCTTGGCCAAGTGGGGCCCATCATTAACCCAGCAGCATGCAAATTAATCAGAGAATCATGCTGAAGCCAGTCTGCTGTATTTCCGAAAGAGTACTATACGGTTAGATTTCTGGTTTAGAAGTGACATAAGGGAGGGCCACATCAACCCCCCACCCCCTGCGCATCCACGTTTTGAAAGATATCAAATCTGGGCCAGGGTAAGTGTCGCGATGTGGCTCTCGTCGCTTTGATTAAATGTCGCTTTAAGGTACGCACCGGATGCCGATCTTACTATATGCCTAGATCATGGGTCTGCCGGACAGCGTCCGACCGGATCCGACCGAAATCTGAGGACACTTCTTCCTTTCCGGTCCGCTTTGGCCTTTCAGATTGACGCCCGAGCCTTTTCAGATTGACGCCCGAGCCTTAAAGATGAAATTGGCAACTCGGAGACAAAATTGGCAACTCTTTTTTCGCCATTGGCAAAGTTGGCAGCTCGGAGACGATAGCATGCAACGAATAGAGTTGGGCATCCGCTTCAGACTCGGCCATCCTACATCCTGCTGCAGTCTTAGATATGTTGCTGTCCGGTGCATAGCAGGAAGTCATCCGCACACGGAACGGGTCTCTCCCTCTCTTTCGTTTTAATTCTTGGGAGCTAGAGTACATGAAAACGTTGGTTTAATGTTTAGGCCAGCAAAAGTGCTTGGTCTTCCTATGATGTGACAAAATAGGCTGAGCTGCGCTCGCACTTCCGGTCAGAACCAGCAAGATCGCAAAACATTTACCCAAAGCTGATTAACAATGATCCTGTCCCGCCGATATCATCTAGCCACCAATACGGTCACTTTCGCGGTTCTGTCTCATTACCAGCTGCTGGCTGCGGCAGCAGCTGGACACAGCCATCATATCCGTCCCATTATCACTACCAGGCTCAGGCCGCACGCACGCGCTCGCTCCGGGCTACCCCTGGCGCGGCGACACCGACTCTACACGCCATGATGCGGAGGTGGGGAGCGCGGAGCCAAATTTCGCCTGAAACGCACCATCAGGCTCCCACACGTGTTACGCGAACGACAAATGGCCAAACGTACACCAAGGTATGTCTTCAGATCTGGTCGGCGCGCCCGCCACGGAAGTAGAATTATCCGCAAAGCATTGGAACGGAAAAAAGCGAATGTCCCCACCAAAGGAAAGTCCTCAGAAAAGGAAGGCAAATGACTTCACCAAAGGGAAAATCCTCAGAAAAGACGGCAAATGTCTCCAGGAAAGGCCAGAAAGCTGATGTAAGTGGAAGGCGCCGTCAAGTGTTGGTTGCCTGAATGCTGCAAGCGAAATTGCTCGACGCGTCGTTCATCAGGATTCAAAGGAATGCTAGAAATGGAACGAAGAAAACATGAAATAGCAATAATGTCCAGAAGCGAGAAACCGCGCTGTAGGGCCACAGTCAATGTAACACACGCATTCAGTCCAGAAGCAGAAAACAACGCTGTAGGGCCACAGTCAATGTAACACACGCATTCAGTCCGGAAGCATAAAACAGCGCTGTAGGGCCACAATCAATGCAACGCACGCATTCAGTACAGAAGCAGAAAACAGTGCTATAAGGCCACAGTCAACAGAACACGCGCACGCCCGCACGCACACGCCCGCACGCCCACACGCCCGCCCGCACGCACGCATGCATGCATGCACGCACGCACGCACGCACGCACGCCGGCGCACGACACACACACACACACACACACACACAAACCCCGACAAGCGCGGGAAGTATGTCAGTACAGCGGGGTCACGCTTGCTGGGCGGGTTTCTGCCGACCGTGCCCATCTCTCACGGTCAGACACTACAGCAACGAGCGTCGGATTAGATCAATAGGGAAGCGCGGTGTTGCCGGCGGCTCTGTCAGGTCACCACGGTGTGCGGCTGGGACGGGCCGCGGTCAGCTGCCGCTGTGGCGACAGGGCCCGAAGAGGCCCCCCCGCGCCGAGGGCCCTCAGAACAGCCGGTGAATAGCACAAGCCGACGTACAATCGGCAAACAACCGATGAAAGTACGCGCCGACGAACAACCGGCAAACAAACGACGAATAGCACACGCCGACGAAGAACTGGCGAACAACCGACAAACAGCAAATGCGAGGGTGTCGTGACGAGAAATCGGTTCGTTGCCACGACGAGCCTTCGGTTCAACGCTTCTCAGTGCGGGAACGCAGTGCCAATCAACAACATAACAAGCGGGAGTGAGCTTATATGATCTCATCAAAAACCTGTCCAGTCTCAGAGCTGGCGAGTTGCATCAGTGCTCGGAGCGGGTTCTCGGTGGGTCTCGTGCGTCATCGAGTGTTTTTTTGACATCATTGAAACCGGATCTGACGGAGCGAGTCCGACCAAATTAGACAGCAATGCACCGAGCAGCGCCATTATCGAGTCAATGAGAGCGATTTAGTATTCTCTACATCGGTCGTATAGTACGGCGTTGTAACAAGCTACGTGCAGCATACGTGTGTTACGGCGGGTATTACTGCTACGGCTGTTGCTGCTAATCTTGCTAGACATATTTGCCAGTCTGACGACAGACGACAGACGACGGATGACAGACAGTCAAACGGACCGACCGATAAACCGACAGACAGAGCGACAGACAGACAGACAGACAGACAGACAGACAAACAGAAGGCCAGGCAGACAGACAGACACACAGACAGACAGAGAGACAGACAGACAAACAGATAAACAGACAAACAGACAGACAGACAGACAGACAGACAGACAGACAGACAGACAGACAGACAGACAGACAGACAGACAGACAGACAGACAGACAGACAGACATACTCACCGCATGCCCAGACGTCCACCGGCTTTCCGTAGGGCTCCTTCTTGAGCACTTCCGGCGACAGATAGCCCGGCGTACCGGCGAAGCCTGTTGGACGTCACACAGAGTCAGCTCGGCCTGACTGAGCAGTACCGTGTCGGACCCACGGCCACCTCAGACCACTGGGAACGCAAGTCTGCTGCGGCACAGTGCCCGTCGCTGGTTCTCAGTGACGTGTAACGAAGTCGCACGTCTCCGGACGGGGATGTCTCGGACACGGCGTGGTAGGTGAGATCGCTGAAAGAGATCTGTCGGATGAGATCGCTCAGATAAGATCGCTCGGTGCTCAGATAAGATCGCTTTGTGCTCAGATAAGATCGCCCAGACGAGCTCGCCCGGCGCTCAGATAAGATCACTCGGCGCTCAGATGAAATGCCAAGAGAGATCGCTCGGATGAGATCGCTTGGCGTTCAGATCAGATCGCTCAGCAGTCAACAGCCGCGTATGAGGCAATGTGTCAAACGAACTGCAGCCGGCAGACCCAATAACACAGTGGATATGAAAGCCGGATTGGAAATCAATGAACGGGATACTCATATCAAATCTGTGTAGCCAGGAAAGTTTTTCCCAAAGCTAGGTCGGTTTATGAGACCCGCAACATTACCGAATGTTTTCCGAGCAGAATTTGTTAAACATGCGTAGACCGGTGCTTACTGCACAAGCACAAGTCAGAATGCTTTAAGCGATCGCTCCCGAATAAAAACAACACTCTAGGCAGATTGGGCCTATTCGTTTGCAACACAGATGGGCAGCACCAATGGTGAATGAAGCCGGTCCCCGCCTCACCGAACCACTAGTGATCAAAGTGCGCCGCCATCTTAACGGCGCGCTATTGATTGAAGTGTGTCATCCCTTATCGAACCACTAGTGATTGGAAATTGCCACCGCCTTACCGAACCACTGGTAATTTAATGTGCCACCATCTTAACGGGCCACTAGTGACTGAAGTAACACCGCCTTACTGAGCCGCTAGCGACAGAAGTGCGCCACTGCCTTACCGAACCAGGCCTGCTGCTCGCCCTGCACTTCAATCGCCAGGCCAAAGTCTGCCAGCTTCACTGCCGCTCCCTTCGCCTTGCTGGCCAGCAGCAGGTTTTCAGGCTGTAAAGACAACGTTAATTCAGTTCAGTTCACGTCACTTCGCCAATCCGCTGGACGCAAATCCAAACCGCACACGCCAGCGGCTTCCTTCGTTGGTAGAAAGCTTCGTGGTGAATCTCAGTGGCTCACAGCACATCTCAAAGTTTGTCAGCGTTCGTTAGGGTTTGGCAGCGGATGGAGAATTTTGGCTGTTATTAGTGAAACTTATCACACCGGCCATCGTCGCGCATGAACACAATTTGCCCAGAAATGTGCTTGCGCTAAAGCGCAAACATCCCTGGAAAGACACGTGGTGCTTAAATGTAAGCCATTTGCATTCTTTTGAAATGAACTCCACTTATTTCATCCAGTACCAGGAATTCAGCCTTTATCATTCAACATAAATTAAGCTCGATGTTTGTGTTAATCATGTCATCATTCAACGAACACATCAACAATTTGTAAATTTGATAAAGGCCGGACCCAAGCAGGCGGTCGACGACTTTAACACGTAATCATGTCATTATCGGCTCTGGGAAATTACAACTGCTGCAAGTAGATGGCTCCAAGGGAAATGCGTTCCAGAGTTTCCAGGTAGCAATCACGCGTGAGCGCGGCCCAGACGTGGGAGATTCGGTACCGCGACTGCGACAGACGCTGCTGAATCAATACCGGGAGCTCTGGAGCGGCCACGGGACCGAAAGCATTGGAACACTGATTGCGTCAGGAAATATGGTCTAAAGACCAGTCATAGACCAGTAACAAGCTACAGGCATCGCCTTGATTGTGCCACGAAATACGATCCAGAGGCCAGTCAAAGGCAAGTAATCAGCTATAGACATCACGTTGATTGTGCCAGGAAAGAGGGCCCAAAAACCAGCCACAGACCAGAAGCCAATCAACTTTTTGCCAAATGTCGTATTTCTGTGCTATTTCACGGGATATCCTACCGACCAGAGGCTGTCAAGACCACCTGCTAGCACCACATACCCGATTCAGTTCAGTTTAGACGGATTCACGGGATATCCTACCGACCAGAGGCAGTCTAGACCACCTGCTAGCAGCACATCCCCGATTCAGTTCAGTTTAGACCTTCCCTGATTTCCATTGACCCGGGAATGTTCCGAATGTTCACACGCTACGTATTGTTAGGTCACGAGTGTCACCAGCGCCAGGTCACCCTGAGCACCAGGCCACCCTGAGCATCAGGTCACCCCGAGCGCCAGGTCACCCTAAGCACCAGGCCACCCTGGGCACCAGGCTACCCTGAGCACCAGGCCACCCTGAGCACCAGGCCACCCTGAGCACCAGGCCACCCTGGGCACCAGACCACCCTGAGTGCCAGGCCTACCTGCGCACCATGCCACCCTGAGCGCCAGGACACCCTGAACGCTGGGCCACCCTGAGCACTAGGCCACCCTGAGCATCACGCCACCCTGAGCACCAGGCCACCCTGAGCACCAGGCTACCCTAAGCGCCAGGTCACCCTGAGTGCCAGGCCAACCTGCGCACCATGCCACCCCGAGCGCCAGGTCACCCTGAACGCTGGGCCGCCCTGAGCACTAGGCCACCCTGAGCACAACGCCACCCTGAGCATCATGTCACCCTGAGCACCAGGCCACCCTGAGCGTGAGGCCACCTTGAACGTCAGGCCACCGTGAACACTAGGCCGCCTTGAGCACCAGGCTGCCCTGGGCCCCAACGTACTGATCGACCAATTCGTGTTTCAGTTCATCGTAAGAAAAATTACCTCCTGTCATATCCTACACCCTTTCAAACACTAGAAGCGGCTGCCACTCCTCACAATGTCATTTCTGCGGATAGTGCTAATGATGCGGCCTGCCTTAACATGTTGGCGTTCGATGCTCTTCGTGACGCACCGCCCAGAGGTTATGTGGACGATGCTGAGATATTGATCACCTGGGGATATAGGCCAACAAACCCGGCCTCCACTGGCGTAACTCAACACGCGCTCGGGCGGGGGTCAAATTGCCCTCCCCCCTCCCTTGAAGGTTTTTCCAGAATGGTTTCTGAACGGCCCGGCGTAGCTGCGCCAATTTTTTATAGCTGTAGACAATTCAATAGAGGATCGTTTGGTGTGAAAAATTTGGATATCTTGTAAGGTCGCCGACCTGTGACAGGTTAAAGTCAGACCATTGTTTCAGCGAAGTCAATTTCTAGGGAATCGTTCATTCTGACAGCATTGGCTAAGCGTACCTGTCTTTGACTGTGTAAGGCGTCTTTGTCTGTGTAAACACTCCTTTTTCGGCAGCAGGTATTCTCGAATGCACTGTTGTTTGTACACGGCGACGTTCAGCCTAAATGACCGTGTTGGTCGCCTGTTTGAGGCTTCCTATGCTTCGTTTGTCGTTTTCTGTATGTCGATACAGACATTTTTCAAATTTAATTAATTTGTGAACGTTTAGATCAATTCAATAATCGGCTGCGAAATGGAGCACTCCACAAGAAGTATACAGTAAAACTCAGCACAAATATAAAAGCTCGGATGTCCTCGTATCTCCGCATAACACACGCTCGAAACACTTCAAAATAGTCGCATTTGAATACTGCATGAGCTAATTTGAGGTACATTTCCGTACGGCCGAAGCATTTTCTTTTCTTTTTTTTCATCATATCTTGTCTATGCCCTACTGCTACAGTGAATGTGCATCATGAGGGAAAGTTATCTTGTTAGCCATATGTCGTACGGTGGCATTGTATGACGATGATTCATCACTTTTGCATGTTGTTAATGGCTGCCATGTCTCTTATGCACAATATGTCAAGTGTGGTGACGCATCCGTGGTCTGTGGTGTAGGCTAGTCAGGTGTTGTGCATGACTTGTGCATTTCTGGCAAGCGTGGTGTTGTGGTGTGTGCGCATTTGGGTTTTCGGTGCACCCTCGCATAGGTGCATAGCAAAACGTCGGCTGAGACTTACTGAGACTTAAGGACACATAAACATATATATATATATATATATATATATATATATATATATATATATATATGCATGTATTAATTTAACAAAATATATATAAACATATATATATATATATATATATATATATATATGTATTAATTTACCAAAAGGGCCAGAGCACTTCCCGATGTACTCTCTGTGCTCTAACTTGTGCTGGGACTCGACATTTGAGCGTTAGTATGCTACCAATATCTGCAAATGTACTCTGATTTTACAGTCCATCGAACTCAGCATGCTTGCAGCACACGCTATCTTTCGTCACTATGTCAGGCCATATTTCGCGATGTGTGCGGGAGATCCGCGAGCTTCTTACGTGACGAGCCTGTGCAGGAGGCCACGGTATTCATTTGCGTAATAACTAGTACATGCATCTCATCAGTACGGATGCCAAAAACGTGACCTATTGCATGCATGGCAAGATGATCCGCGTGACGTCATTTGAAGCCGCGGAATGTGAGCTGCACCGCCCCACCAGACGTTGTGGGTAGTAAACATGAAAATCAATATCCAGCTTAAAGCATATCGGTTTGTATAGTATCCTGCCTGTTCGCATAATATGTGGCGTTTCAAAAATAAACATTAGCTCAGCGGATTGCGCGGTCTCCTGAGTATGCAAGCCCGCGTTGCAGGCAATCGTAGACTCCGGGACTCTCTTAGTCGTAGTCATCACTGTAGACTGCAGGGGAGTACATCAAGTGTCATTCCATAACTCGATGTAGTGATAGTCTTTTTCAACTTGATGCTGATATCCCTGCCTCTGCATGACCTCTGAACTTGGCGTTATATTTCCCGTATCATACGAAGTGTAGGTGAAATTTATTTGAGCTATATGGTCCACAGAGAAAATAGTTTCGAAAAGTGGACAACTCAATGGGCAAAAGTACAAGGAACTTGGTACCTTTGTTCAGCGAGACTTGTTGCCGGAAACTAGCTAGGCCAACGGGATTGGTTGCACGATACTGGCTAGCCCAGCAGGACTTGTTGCCGGAGACTAGCTAGCTCAGCGGAACTAGTTGCAGAAGACTAGCCAGTCCAGCGGGACTGGTTACAGGAGGCTAGCTAGCCCAGCGGGACTGGTTACACAAGACTAGTTAGCCCAGCGCGACTAGTTACAGGAGACTAACTAGTCCAGCGGGACTTGTAACAGGAGACTGGCTAGCTCAGTGGGACAGGTAACAGGATGCTAGCTAGCCCAGCGAGACTTGTCACGGGAGACTAGATAGCCCAGCAGGACTTATTGCATGCGACTAGCTAGTCCAGCAGGGCTTGTTGCATGCGACTAGCTAGCCCAGCGGGACTGATAACAGGAGACTAACTAGCCCAACGGAACTGATTACAGAAGGCAAGCTGGTCCGGCGGGACTTGTTACGGGAGACTAGCTAGGCCAGCGTGACTTGTTGCATACGAATAGCTAGTCAAGCAAGACTTGTTGTATGAGACCAGCTAGTCCAGCGGAACTTATTACACGAGACTACTTAGCCCAAAAGCGGCTTATTGCGGAGACCAGGTGGCCCAGCGGGATTTGTTGCATGCGACTAGTTAGCCCAGCGGCACTTGTTGCCTGCGACTAGCCAGCCCAGCAGGACTTGCTGTATGAGACTAGCTAGCCCAACAGGGGCTTGTTGCGGGAAGTTTCCCGACGGGCGCGTGCTGTAGGAGGATAGCCCGGCGTGGCAACTGCTGCAGGCAATTTACATGCAGTTGCAGGTTTCCGATTTTTCACAAAATCATATGATTACACGTTGGGGGCTGTTCATAAACAACATTACGCATGAAGAAGAAGGTTCTCTTTTAAACGAAGCGCAGCCGAAGTGTAACAAGAGGGTCTTTGGCCAGCGTACCGTTACGTTCATGCCTGGTTGGAAGCCATGGCGACCGTTTCATAACATATTTTAACTGCGCAACGACAGCGAGAGCTGCATTCTCGTCTATCGTATCCAGAGCGTAACCAGGGGGGGGGGGGATATGGCCAAAAATGCGTGAGGTTTTCACTGACGGTACCTTATTCTTAGAAGTTAGTGCATGGACTACATTAAGCTCTTGCCCTACTGCGGAAGGGCCGATGCCATCCCCACCCCCGCCAACATTTTCTGAGGACATCTCTCTGGCACGTCGTGTGATCGTGCTCAAATTGTCGGTAGCCTGTGGAACGTCATTGGGCATGTTTTATACAAAGAAAGCGCCTCTAGCGTTTCTGGTGTCAGAGCAGTGACTTTTCTAGAAACACTGCACGGCGATAAACGGCCGGCGCGGGCGGCGGACGGCGGATGACAACCGACATTGCCGCCGATTACGTGCCGTGGGCCGACCCTGTTAAAATAACAGACCCCTCCATCATACAAATATGTTCAAAACACCTAAAATTCCAACTTATGTGCCTGGAATTCAACTAGTAGCATACCTGGATAGGTTTCATGTCGCTACATGACATGGTCTTGTAAATGTATTCATTTCAAACTGAAAAGGTGCGATTTTCGGAAAAAATTGAACTCAAACTGACATAATAGGGCACTTTTCAGCAGTGCATCGCATCTGACCCTGTTCGCGTTATGAAAAATGGCAAAGCAATGCGTAGATATAATGCAATCACATACCCTTCTTTCAGATGATTGCCAGCAATGCTACTTCCGCGTGACCAAATTTAGCTTTCTGCGGACGATACACTGTTGACGTTTTGTAGATATGTCTGTAGATGATACTGTTCACGTGTCCTACCTTGAGATCCCTGTGGACGATACTGTTGACGTGGCTTACCTTGAGATCTCAACAGACGATACTGTTGACATGTCCTGCCTTGAGATCTCTATAGACGATACTGTTGATATGTCCTACCTTGAGATCGCTATAGACGGCACTGCTGACATGTCCCACCTCGAGATCCCCATAGACGACACTGTTGACATGTCCCACCTTGAGATCTCTATAGATAACACGTTGACGTATCCTGCCTCGATATCTTTGGGGACGATACTGTTGACGTGTCATAAGTTGAGATCTCTATGGGCGATACGGTCGACATGGCCTACTTTGGGAAATCTATGGACAACACCGTTGACGTGATCTACCTCGAGATCTCCATGGACGATACTGTGCGCGCATCCCTCCTTGAGATCTTTTTGGATGACACCGCTCGCATGCCCTGCCTTAAGATCTCTGCACACGATGCTGTTGACGTGTCACACCTAGAGATATCAGTGGACGATATATTAACTGACGTGTCCTACATTGAGATATCTATCGACGGATGGCACTGCTGGCGTTTCGTACCTTGAGATCTCTGTAGACGATGCTGTTGACGTGTCATACCTAGGGATGTCCATGGACGATATGAATATTAACTAACGTGTCCTACATTGATATCTCTACCGACGGATGGCACTGCTGACGTTTCGTACCTTGAGATCTCTGTGGACGATACTGTTGACGTGACAGTGGCTGACCGACTCCAGGATCTGCTGGATACAGTGAGAGGCGTCCGCTTCACTGTAGAACTCGCGAGCCACGATGTCCTCAAACAGCTCTCCGCCAGTCACTCTGTCGACACCAGACAGGGGTCAACAGCGCAAAAATAGTCCCCGGTTGTGAATCTGCAAAGACTAGGGTAAAGCTGAAAGCCTCCAGAAACTTTCCAACGTGAGATGCGAGCGCGGTTTGACGCCAAATATCTTCAGATCCTTTTCAAGGCCTTTTAAGTACTGACGAAGGCTGTAGACATACCAAACACCGTGGTGATACGGCAGCCAACATCCCAGTGGAGGATACCAGTCCGAATCCTGATCGCATTCGTTACGGAACACGAAAACGTTTGGTTAGGAAAGGTGCGTGCTCACTGATTTATCGGCGCTATTAGACTATACATAGAATTACGACAACAACAGGAAACACAACTGTAACGGTGAGAAAATGTGATGGTGGGCCAAGATCGCGAGCAAACTGACAACTGTCCCAGTTAGACTATCAAACGAATTTGAAAGATCCATAATGTGCGGATATGCCGCGTCAGGACCATGCTTGCGTAAAACATTATCACCGATATATTTCTGCTAGATGTCGATAAGTTTTTTATCTTACGCGGCACGTAATACATTTTTATAATATATACGTAATTCAAAGCGTTTGGCAGGTGGATACATCCTTCATAACTGGACTACATACGCGGTGGCATTTTTCCTGCTTGGGAGTTCCTGGAGGATGAGCCAGACAAGCACAGCAAGCAAACTCAATTGAAAAAAGAGCTTAACACAAACACCACGTGATGCAAAGACCCAAAGCAAGCTTACACTTCAACACACCGCCGCTCGGGCCCATTCCGAAGGTCACTGTAGGACATTGTAAAGGTCACTGCAGGACATCCGAAGGTCACTGTAGGACATTGTAAAGGTCACTGCAGGACATCCGAAGGTCACTGTAGGACAATGTAAAGGTTGCTGTAGGGCAATGTAGAGGTTACTGTAGGACAGTGTAAAGGTCACTGTAGAACAATGTAGAGGTCACTTTAGGACATTGTAAAGGTCACTGTAGGACATTGTAAAGATCACTGTAGGACATTTTAAAGGTCACTTTAGGAGATGGACGGGTGAAGGAGCCAGTAATCCTATTCCAGGCGGGCATATCATACGCCGCGGGCCAATTAAGCAAATGGAAAGGACCATGGCATGCACAGGCGCTGAGTACACGTTAATCAAGCAGCCGGCTCCATGCCGAGGCAAAATGGCGTCACGCACGAACGACCAGATCAGGTCACGAGCCAGTAAGACCCGTTCACGGAGCGACCAGAACAGGTCACGAGCCGGCAAGACTCATTCACGGAGTAACCACAACAGGTCACGAGCGGGTAAGACTCATTCACGGAGCGACCAGAACAGGTCACAGGCCAGTAAAACCCGTTCACGGAGCGACCAGAACAGGTCACGAGCCGGTAGGACAGCGGTGACCACGGAGTGACCAGAATTGGTCACCGAGTCACGAGGACAGTTCGTGGGGGATTAGGCCAGTAAGTGGACTCGCCAGGACGGTTGAGGACGGTTGATTGACTCATGAGGACGAGTGGCCAGGACAACTGGCCGTGCGGAAAGGACAGTTGGCGGAGCGGAGATGACAGTTGACGGAGCTGAGAGAACAGTTGACGGAGCTGAGAGAGCAGTTGGCGGAGCGGAGATGTCAGTTAACGGAGCTGAGTGAACAGTTGGCGGAGCGGAGAGAACAGTTGCGGAGCGGAGAGGACAGTTGGCGGAACAGAGAGGACGGTTGGCGGAGCGAAGAGGATAATTGGCGGAGCGGAAAAGACAGTTGGCGGAGCGGAGAGGGCAGTTCATGGAGTGGGGAAAACAGTTGACGAAACGGAGAGGACACATGGCGGAGCGGAAGGGACAGTTGGCGGAGCGGAGAGGACAGTTGGTGAAGTGGAGAGGACAGTTGGCGGAACGGAGAGGGCGGTTGGCGAAGCGGACAAATGGCGGAGCGGAGAGGACAATTGACGAAGCGGAGAGGACAATTGGCGGAGCGGACTGATGCCGACATCGATCAAGGCGATCAAGCCAAGAAAAGCATGCTGAGAGAAAAGAAACACACGTAGCTGCACCAAAAATAAATCACTTTTTGACACCAGACTGTTTGTACTTACAAATCAAAGACTAGGTAGTGAAAGCTCTCCTCTTGTATACTCTCATGAAGCCTGACTGAAAACGGAGGGCACGCTTGTTAGTGCAGGGTGTGACATTTCGTCTCCCTGTCGTCCCACAGCCAGATGACAGGCGACCTTCGGAGCGGTCGGCGGCTCACGATTCACAGAACCCAAAGCGACCTCCGGGACGAACACTCATATAGTCTGCCACCCCGACGGCTCAAAAGGCGTGTGCTACATGGAAAGCGGAAGAGAAATTTCGTTGTTCAAAACTGAAGAATGCTGAGATCCAGGTGACTCTAGGTCAAACCTAACTGCGCTTTCCGTCCGCAAATTTCGCGGGTACGCGGCCCGCCCGCAACTCACGTCCAAATTTGCTGAAAACCACATTGTATACCTTGAGCAGCGTGGTTTCCGCCGTGGCCACGTCACTAGGACGGCGAAACTCGACGCCACAGGTTCCTTATCAACCCATGAAGCCAATTATTTGGTCTCAACTCTGCCTACCGCTGACACACTGAAGCCGTCCGGCACGGCCGGCTGCTGGCGAAGCCAGGACGGAGCGCCGCGAGCGACCAATGGTGTTGGGACCAGCTGGGTAGTCGCCCCCAAGCGCTCCGAGGCGGCGCTGCCCTGGTACCGCACGTGACCTTGGAGCGACGCGGGGTTCTATTCTCGGCCAAACATTTTTAATCTCCCCCAACAAGCTTGTTTGCCATTCCCAAATGGTGAAAAGCCCTTTGCTTTAGGCCATCCACTCAGCTGTTTTTGGCCTTCCAGGTACATCCTCGCGACACAGACGCTTTATTGGCAAAACAAGGTGATGGCGCAAACTTGGATAACAGCCTCTAGCGGTCGGCGGTTTAGAGGTCAACTGTCGTCAGTGTACGCACTGCCATCTGGGGACGGGCTGAGATAAACTGCTGCAGATCGTGACCCCCGTGACCCGTGATCCGTGACTCCTGATCCGTGACCCGTGACATGAACCGTAATCTGCAACCCATGATTCGTAGTCCGTGACCCCTCGTGAACTTGGGTGTGACCCAAGTTAACCATGGTATGTGACCCATGATCCGTAGTCCGTGACCCATGACAGGTGGTCCTGACCCGTGAGCCGTAACCCATGACCCGTGACCAGGCTGGCACAGGCTGTGTCGTTGACTCCATAAAAGCGGAGGAACGGGACTGAAATATGGTAACGTGTCGTGTTCGGGAAGTAAACGTTATCACTTACTTTATTACATTTCACGAATACTTCACAAACAATGAGGTAAGATGAGTAAAATGTAACGCAAATAAACGTTCATCTTCATGAGCGCAGTTCTGTGTACAAGGAATTTGCTTTCCACTGTCTGCTGTACATGTCCATTTAAAGCAAGCGCGATCTCACGGTCATACAGCATGAACAGCCTGGACCTTGTTGGACCTGTTTTTGTGCCGTGCACATCTGACCGGCCAGAGAGACGTGGAGTCAGGACGTGGACTGTAACAAGACACCAATCTGACAGTGACATTTGGAACCTGAGGGGTTCAATCCGTGTAATAGGCCGGTACATCGTAAACGGAAGAATTAAATGCCATCAAACCGTCAACAAGAACCCTCAGATCAGACACCTAAGTTAGAGGTGGGCCGTATCTTGGGCCACTGCCACGGAAGTAGCATCAGGCAGGCTTGTGTACGCCAGTGGGGGGCCAGGTTACCGCCAAAGGGGAATCAAAGACAAAGGCTGTGGAAAGAATCACAGCCCAGCCCGAAATCCGGACCGAAACTGCTAGCCGGAGCGCCATAAAAGACGCCGCCACAGACGAGCACCACACAAAGAAATCACGAGCTATCAGATCAGCTGATCAGGCCAATGCCAAGAGTAATCCCCGGCGTAGAGTCAGCAGCACAGGCGAAACGAGCCGAATCAGCGACAGAGCCGCGGCCCCGCCCTCCCAGTCAGTTGATTGGGCGAATCAGGGACAGCCGGTGGTCTGGACGTCGGTGGTCTGGACGCCGGTGGTAAGGATGCCTGTAGTAAGGACACCGGTGGTGAGGACGCCGTTAATGAGGACGCCGGTAATACGGACATTGGTGGTAGGGACACTGGTAGTAGGGACACCGGTGGTAAAGACGCCGGTAATATGGACAACGGTAATAAGGACAACGATGGCAAGGACGCCGATGGTAAGGACACCGATGGTAAGGACGCCGATGGTAAGGACGCCGATGGTAAGGACACCGATGGTAAGGACGCCGATGGTAAGGACACCGATGGTAAGGACACCGATGGTAAGGACACCGATGGTAAGGACGCCGGTGGTCAGGATGCCTGTAGTAAGGACACCGGTGGTGAGGACACCGTTAGTGAGGACGCCGGTAATAAGGACATTGGTGGTAGGGACACTGATAGTAAGGGCACCGGTGGTAAAGACGCCGGTAATATGGACAACGGTAATAAGGACACCGGTGGTGAGAACGCCGGTGGTAAGGACACCGATTGCAAGGATGCGGGTGGTAAGGACACCGATCGTAAGGACGCCGGTGGTAAGGACACCGATCGTAAGGACGCCGGTGGTAAGGACACCGATCGTAAGGACGCCGGTGGTAAGGACACTGGTGGTAAGAATGCCTGTGTCACGGACGCCGGTGTTATGGAAGCCGGTCCGAACCGTGTGATATAACCGTGTTGAACGATGCATGGCTGAAGGCAATCGCATAGTAGAGCCGATCTTTTGGTATGAAAATTAGATATACCCTGTAAGGGCACTGACCTATGGTAGGTCTATATCAGGCCATATCTGTCAGAAGCGGCAAGGCGTACGGAATGCCTCAATCTGATGTGATCGCGTAGTGTTAGACGAAGCCATGCACCTTTAAGATGGTCTCTTAGACAAGGAGCTAACTGCATTCAGGATTGCGACTTGTTCCATTGACCTTGGGCATGGTGTAAACGTCAAAACAAGGAAAAGTCAAATCGCTCTTTTACGAGAGAACTCGCTTTAATAGGCAGTTTTATGGCCCTAAATTCGGATTTCTTGACTCTAGGGACGTCAATGGGTATTTTTAAGATCTCAATGAAGGTTTGAAGAGAAACTGACCTAAAATGACAGCAATACAACTTTAGTTTTTGGAGCATACAGTCTAGCATAGTCCTTAGCACTTATTCAACTCAAAATATCCAACCAATCTTAAAGGTTTCTGGTCACTTTTACAGTCTCAAGGTCAAATAAGGTCACTTACCTGTAATGGACAATAATGACCTTTTGTTTAGAACAGGCAGAAGAGGTCAACGGTGATTGCATGAGAAGATCTGCGGACACTTCGGACATAAATCTGGAGTTTGATCTTGTTTTACCATATTTGACCCGCAAGTCATAACCTAGGAATCTCAAACCTTGACACCAGTGTGTACACATAAATGTTTACCTATCCCGTTCATGTGATGTATTTATCTCTTTTATTTCTTGAGATCTCAGGGGGTTAATTTGACCCTCACCCGACCACCATAACATTCAGCCGGCCACCCGGGCAAGTGCTAAGAAAAATGATCAAGTGACCTGGCCTGCATTTCTTGATGAAGGGCTATATAACGACGTGTCTTATCAGCATGTGAAGGACAAAGTATCATTCCGATGCGTCATAACTGTACATTTGCGACCGCATATGATGTGGAGGCAAAAACAACTTGGCCTGCCGCCATGGAAGCTCCAAAGCAGACGATTATCAGGTATAAAAAGATATGTCATTTCTGCTCCCTTCATGATGTTTTGTAGTCCAGCACAAGGCAAAACATCGGTGGGTCAATGACGCGTAAACCTCTTGTGTGCCCTATGCGGTCGTTTTGTTGAAAAATTGCGCAGTGTGGCAGAGACGTTGTAGCTGAGTTATTATCCAGTCCAACTACATGATTGAAAAGCGAAATGTCGATAAAGTATTTTGCATATTAACGTAACCATAACAAAAACATCAGTATGAAGCACAGACTAGCGCGCCGCACCGCGTATTCCTTACCGCCACAACGGGTCCTTCAGCAGACTTGTGAGAAAAAGCATCTAACATGCAAGAGGGCTGTGATGAAAAAACTCAGAGGCGGAAGCGTCCCCATGACCACATTTATTCGATTTGTCTATTTTAATTAAATAGATTTTGATTACCGTCGTTTAATGGAATCATTGCATCATAATACGCCTTTCGTGTACTTAGTGGGGCAGAAGTAAAGTTAGGTAGAAAACATGGATGGCTCAAAAGCTCTAGAGCCCAAAAAAAAAACAGATCAGCTCCAAGACCAAATTAATTGAAAAAAATAGAATACTAAAATAATGGGGGATATATTATGGCACCCAAGAAAGAGCATTACATAGAAGTCCATGTTTTGCAAGCGCAAAGAGCCTTAGCACATAGAGGGCGCTGAAATTACTTTGCCGAATATGAGGAGAAAACAAATCCTGGTACGTTTCTATGACTGTCCTCTGGGCGTCGACCGCATCTAGATAATTATCTAATCACGAACACGCTATTTTAATATCAGTGCGACTTAAATATTAGGCAAAAATGACTCGAGAGCTACTTTAGTCAGCGACACGCAGTGTTCAGCACGCGCATCCAGAAATATGCAGGGCATGGTACCTGCGAGTACATCGGGTATTTTACGCTAAATGCATATGCATAGGGGTACTACAGTTTCACTGTGTTGGTCTTGAAAATTAGGGAGCTTGGAAGCATGCGATTTATATCACATGAAACCCAGGAATTGTCAAATGTCATGACACTCACTCGACCTCTGCGCGCTTTGGACTTTTTAAGAGCCCTTCGATTGCGCGCTCGTGCCTCAGAACGGTTGGTATGCTTTATTGCTATCGTCTTTGTTGACGAACATGCTTACTTTGACTTCAATAACCGTCGTTTAATTTCGAGAGCCTCAGCCCCCCGCCTTTGGGGGCTGAGGCTTTCCCCGATTTTTGGGGACAAAGAGCATGAGAATACTTAACGGGAGTCGCATGAGGACACGCCAGGGGTAAGAGTGTCACTATCTCAATCGACTGGGGGGGGGGGGGGCTGAGCCAATAAAGTTGACAAAATCTACCCCAAAATCCTGATTTCTAGCCGGACTCTGTCCACTTTCATTCGCGTCTTTGATGTACAACTGAAAACAAAACAATGTATATTTGGTCGGTTCCAAAACTGTTTTGATAATGAAGCATGATAGCCATTTGAAGTCAGCGTGATGGCGATAATGATAATACATGATGATAATATTGGTAGTGATGCGTTTCGAAACCTAGTGTACCAGCAGTTCAGCAATTTGCCGCATTTTTTGGCCCAGTATTCCATTCTTTACTTACATGCAATGGGAAGATGGTCTCAAAAGAGCATATGGTGGCTCAAATCAGCAGTGTGAGGCTCATCCCACCTCAAAGTATACAAAATAAAACCCCTGGTCAGTGGAATATACTGGGCGCCCGAGAACTTCCCACTGCCAGGCGTCCAGCATCTCATGGACTTCCTATTTCCGATGGGACATGGCGTTGTCCTGATCTGACCTGACTTGACCTGGCCTGACCTGACCTGACCTGATCTGACCTGACCTGCAGTCAGGATAACACCTTTCTCAAGTAGCTGGATATTTTTTTCCTGACGGCGTGTCGCACTCGTAACTGTGCATGGCTTATCTCTACGGATAAGGTTCGTTTACTTTCCTAACCGTCTCTGGTGTGGTTGTGGAGATCGAGCGCCCGGATTGCGGGTCATCTGCGGTGCTTTACCTGCCCGTGAAGAACGCTTAAACTTCGAACGGCTTCCTATGCTGGACACTGAGGGGCGAGACCGTGCGATAACCTGCTAACATATGCTGGCGGATTTGCCGAGCGGCGTGCGACATTCGATGGCGTCTCGCACGTGCCCTCTTGAAAACTGTTTTGCGTGCGCGTCACATCCGTAGCGTGTCAGCGTGTCAAAACACATCCCGTGTCATGCCAGCATCCCGTCACAACATCCCGTAGCGTGTCAGCGAAAATTGTCTCTTGCCCTCACAGCGAAACAAAGAAAGAAAGTTTACAGTGACAGTCAACTGGTGAGAAAATGCTGTCGTAAAGCTTCAGCAGCGCAAGTGCGTTGTTTTATATACAGATCAATCCGCTGAAACAATTGTGCGTGCATCTATACTATATGTTTACATATATATATATATATATATATATATATATATATATATATGCCTTTATATATACAGTGTTTCTCAGCGGGCGGTTAAGGCGTGAAATGGTCTCAACGGGCCGAACCGCCTTAAGCAAAGCAAAGGAAAACGGGACGTGTCTCAGAGGGCCACGTGGCAGCACGTGGACAGGGCCGGTGACCGACAGTGCCCTGGTCTCCGACACGATCTCACCGATGTTGGGATGCTGCAGCTTCCGACAGACGCGCGCTTCACGCTCCAGCTTCTGGAAATCTGAAACAGCCATTGTAGGCGGTCAGCAGAGCCGCACAACGGAAACCGAGGGTTGGGTCACCAATGGAAAGTGCATTAAAGCTACAAAGAAAATACGAGGTAACGTGGCTGCGATTTCATAGGTGTCACAACTACTGAGGAAGTAATTAAATATACTGGAAATAATA